GTAATTTTCAGAAAATGATCACAACGTGATGGCGTGCCCTGCTTGCAGTCCTTCCACCAATAACGCTGGCAACAACCACCCGCTCCCAGCCGTCGTGCTCACTGCCTATGATATTCTGCCACACGAAATTCCGAGCCGAAGGACTTCAGCCGAAGGCGCGCAGATGGGTGAAACACCATCAGAAATGTTTAGCCCTTTCTTAATATGGGGAAATTGCTTACTGATTGTATGCCTCGGCCCGTTGAGAACTCGCGAACTTCAGTAGGCTCTCTACAATGTGTATACAGAAAAACTCGTTCTCATTTGCAGGCAATGTCAGCACGAACTTTTAATAATAGTGGGAGAAGTACTCGCCATCGAAAGAGCACAAAGTATTCGATCTGACCATTACCAAGGTTTCACGGCGACGTTCCAGTTAGGTGGTGTATTTTGGTGCAATAGCACGTGAAGACAACGGTAGCCTCAAATTTGCACAAGGAGTGCTGAAGGTCACAAGCTCCGTTTCAAGCAACTTTCTCAATTCTGTTTCGTACTGGACGGCGCTAGAATGTGTAAAGAAAGATCTGAGCCAGGGTATGAGAAGTTTTGCAAAAGGGAGAGAGCGAGCTCTGGCTTGAATGAAGCTGTTGTTTTGCTCCGAAAGGGGCTCCCTCATTTCCAGAGAAGCGGTCATTATGGAACTCAGTGTAATCCGTCGCTGGGCGTAGGGAGGCAGATAATCTCATCTCTTTGACCCACCATAACTTTTGTTGTGGCTTTCAATGGTTCGGGTGTCCTTTATCCTGTGCACTTATAGGAACAGCGCCGGCTTCGCCATTGAGGAATCAAAGCGAGGCACTTCATTAGAAACACATACCTGACCCTACGCTGGTCTCCCTTTGATAGTCCGGCTTTCCTTTGTAGTACCTCTGGAGAGTGAACACAAACGTATATTAATTGAAGACATACAGAAGCAGAGATACCATTCCATCCATTACCTGTAGAAAAGTGTCTGTTCTTGATGGAAGAAGGATCAAAACTTGGTCACTCACTTCTTCACTCCGAGGGATCCGAAGTGACAAGCAAAATCTCATTTCGAACGACCCACCTCGTCACTCGAGCTTCTCAAATATAAAGTAACAGTAACTTCCAAGTAGTGGACCAATATGTGGGAATCGTTGAAGTAGTTCAGCTCAAGCGAAAATGTGCTGTTGAGAAAGGGCACATTTGATTTCGAAGGTACTCAGCAGCTAGCAGAAGTGCTCAGGTGAGCGCTGGCGATCGATGAAAAGAAAAAGGCGATGACCACAGATTTCGGAACGCTGGAATCGATTGTGGCCTGAAATTTCAGCTATGACTGATCCGGTGTGGTCACGTGCACTGGCTGGGATAAAATTTCAAAAGTGAGCAATGGCGTTCAGTCTTACACGTGGTTCTCAGAATTGCGCCCTGCCGTTATAAAGAAAGCATGCTCTTCATGATCCCCTGTCCCTAGAGGCAACTTGGAGCTAGGATTGCGCGCAATACGTTCACTGAGAAGCCGATGCTCACAGGATTATTCTGAGATTCAAATTCAACACTATAAG